TATATATATATATATATATATAGTTGGGTTCACGTATGACCAACCTGTTTTCATGAGATCCGTGTGACCATTTTTTTACACTTAAAATTTCACAGTAAAACACTGTGAAAATAAAAAACAGCTGAACCTTCACAGCAAAAACTTTTATTTTATATTCAATATTATATATATATATATATATATATATTTATTTATTTATTGATACATAAAATATGAAACTTCATGTTCATATTTCACTTCAAAATAGAAAACCAAAAAGCCCTTTTTAACATGGTCATGAAAACAATTTACGGTTTTTAAAAAGACTGAAAACTTAAAAAGGCCAAGTTTTATGATATATGTAGACTTTAATCAGTTTCAACCACTCTTTTTTTCATATTAACGTTTGAGTTAATATTAATACGCTTTTATCTGGATCGTTAATCCCTCCAAATTTACTGATAACTTTTTGAAACGTCTTTATAACTAGGATTACATAGCAGATCAAATGTGTTTATACATATAAGAATATAAAAATGAAGATGTTGTCATTATTTAAACGTAATCATAAGTTTTGCTTGATCTGTTTCTTGAAAATAATAATAACACGTAGGGGTCTTTTACCAAACACTTACTTCGGTAAGCGTTTATTAAGTAACATTATCTTACCGGACGAATATGGTAAGTACCAAGAATCATACCTAATAAAAACAAAAGCAAGTACCAAGAGTCTTACCCGGTAATGTTTTATTTTTACAAGATATTTTGGAATGAAAGTTGCATCTTTACCTCTTGTTCATGTTATATGGATTATAAACAACCAACAAATTGAATAATTAAATGTAAATATTTGATATTAATATTCAAAAAAGAAAAAAAGAAATGGTGAAAAGTGAATAATTTGTTTTTATTGTGTTTGAAAAGAAAAATGGAAATCACAGAGGAACAGCAATAGAGGGAATATGTACCACTGCAACAACAGCTACATCTTTTCCACTATTCTCTCTTTTTTATTTCTTTTTTTCAATACTCATAATTATTGTCTATGTCTGAAATCGAATTTTGGACAGATGAGAATTTCCACCACATCTTTCAAGATCTCAACCACTATATCATAACCCTTGTGGTTTTTACTTCAAATTTTGCCAATGGAGTTTTAATAATTATGAGATCGGCCATACGAGAATAAAGGGCCATTTACCAAACATTTATCCGGGTAAGCGCTTACCAAGTCATATTATCTCACCGGATGAATATGGTAAGGACCAAGAATCTTACTCGGTAAAAGAGAGACAAGGACCATGAGTCTTACCCGGTAACTGAGGGTGACGACTCTTACCACGGTAAGTGCTTACCGGATAAATTGTTGCCTAAGATGTCGTTTTGATGGACTAAAATCTTACC